TCGACGAGTTCCCGCGTTCTTTTATTTCTTAATAACGATCATGTATATATATATATATATACACATATATATATATATATATATATATATATATATATATATATATATATTATATATATATATATATATATATATATATATATATATATATATATATATATATATATACATTCTTAACGAATATTTATTAAACCACAAAGTTGTAAAATTAAAGAACAAAAAAAAAAAAAAAAAAAAAAAAAAAAAAAAAATATATAAAAAGCTAAAATATTAAAGAGGTTCAAACATAGCGTGATTTTTTAATAATAACATTTTGTTCAAAGGAACAACGCGCATCGGTCAAAGGTACAACGTATGTGTTGTACCTTTGACCAATAGACTTTTTTTTTTTTTTTTAAATTAATCATTACAGATTTGGGTTATTTTGTAACAAAATTTGTATAAGTAAGACAAAAAATAATAGGGACATAAAAAGAGAAAATTTTTATCAAAAGAGAAAGGTTTGGTGTGTCGTAAAATAAGATCTTATCAAAATTGTCAGTAAGCACGACAAGTATCATTAATTTAAACAATTATTTCCTTGTGAGGAAATATTTATTTTTTTAAATTATTTAAAAACTAGTTCCTAGTAACTTAAATAAATATTTTCTTGATGTTATTAGTTTTTAATAAATAGCATTTTTAAGTATGTTATGTGGATTGTTATTCACTTAACATATTTACAGTTTGATTTAGGTTAACTTTTGTATAAGAAATAATAAAGTTTGAATTAGTGAAATTAGATTTAAATTAATGTAAAAATGATTCACGTAGAAAATTGAATGTTTATGAGCTTCCTCTTCTGAAATAATGTTTAAGACAGCCTACTGCTTTCCGAACAGGTTGAATATGTTAACTGTACAAGACAAAGATTAATATCAGTAATTTTTGGGTTCCACAAGGACTACGCGATTAGTACAGAACTACTTTGCGTAGAAAAAGAAAAGGAAAGTTAGTTTCTCTCCTTTCTTCTTTTGATTTTAAGTCAATACAAGTGAGACCTGAACTAAAAAACGCGTTTTTGCCTAGTTTGCTAAATTGGTTGTTCATTGCTGCAAACAAAACATCCTCTTGAAGAGCAAATCGCTATTGAGAAAGAACTAAGTGTGCATTGCAGCACAGGCTTCAGTACTTTAGGAAAATGTTTGACACACCAAAGCTCTTAATAAAGTTCATGTAAAATTTTCAATCTTTACCATAAAAAGATGCCAAACCAGTCGAACAAGTTGCATCTCGAGTTAATTCCAATAAAGAATTATCTAAGTGAGTTATCTAGCTTTCGGTGGGCCTCCAATTATAATTACCCCCGGTAAATATTTATACTTAAATAGTTTTTGCATGCATTTTGAAAGAAGGTTTTCACTATTAAGGAATAATACTAGATAGATTTCAGGAAGTATTTTTGACAAGTTTCTAATCTTTTTAAAAACGAACAATTTGAAAGTTTTACACAAACTTTCTAAACAAAGTTAATAATAAACAAAAAATGCATATGTTTAGGTTTTAGGTCAAAGTATTGGCCAGTCACCATCAAGCATTCCAAAGTGACCACTCTAATCCTTATAAATGTAAAATTAAATATGGGTCTATCAAACAACGGATTTAAGAAACTTGTAAGCGCTTTACGAAAAACATCAAGCAGCAAGATGGTAGAACATCAAGCAACATCAAGCAGCAAGATGGTAAAGCCAACTTTTTACATAAATTTTTTAAGAGCAGGTCAACACTTGAGTAATTTATCCATCTGCAGTGACTTAAAAATTACCAACGGAAAAAGAGACTTTGGTACGTTTTGGGTTGTTGCTCACAGCAATGATTTTTCAATTTTGGTGAATTATGTTATCCAATCTCGCAAACATTTTTGGTGACTATTTTGTTAAACTTGGAATTGATGGTGGCATAGATTTTCTCATGTTTTTTCTAAGCATTGTCAGTACTGCAATACAACAATCTCTCACTCAAAAGATTGGCAAAGACACTGGAGTCAAGAAATAAATTCTTGTTGCGGTATCAAAAGGTTTGCCAGAAACTCCCTGAACAAATCACTGATTAATGAAAATTTAACCAGTCACTGATTAATGAAAATGATTTTGAACTAATTTTGGAATGTGATATGAAAGTTGCAAAAATAGTTTTTATCTTAGGACCCTGTATGCACCCTTGCACATGGCATGACTTCAAATCCAAATGTCTCGCCAAATCTGGAAACTTGTGAACTATAAGTTCAATCAAGTTTAGTCTTTAGTCTTTTCAGCAATCAGGCGGTGCTGCTGCATGCATGCATGCATGCAAAGCTGTTTGGCGATGTCATTGGAAATCATCAGTGGACTTGACAATTAGTAATTATTGCCTTTCGAATGACAAATGATTAGAAATCATCCAACCAATAAAATTATGTTTTTTTTTTGTAAATTCTCAATCATCCATTGAAGACCCTTAAAATAGAAGCTGTTTAGAGTCTAGTTGCCCTCCAAATTTAACATATCATTGGGGTCAGTAAAGAACATATTTAAAAATGTTCTTGGATGCTATTTAATGAATGTAATTAACAATGTAAAAAATAGGATTTAGATTTAATTTTTCACTTAATTTTTAAAGTAAATTTATTTAAGGTTTCAAGAGTCATTAGAAAGTTTGTCAGAAAGCATTTTTTTGCATATTAACTATATTTGATATTAACTAATTGTATTGTATTATATTTGTACTTTATTTTTTATATGTTTCTGTATAACTGTATAAACCTATAAGAAAAAAGGTAGTGTCTTAAAAACGAGGAACTTGTTTAAAATAGAATTAAAGAGGGTGAGTTTTGAAAAAATTAATAAAAAAACGGGGTCTTAACTCAAGTTAAACACACGTTAGTGAGGTTTATCATATCTTATCATTTTTAATTCAATTTAAATGTGAATAAGTCAATACTTTCTCTTTTAAGCTTAATAAAAATTACTCACAAACTAAAGCAAAGAGAAAACATCTAAGTAATAGTGTTAAAAAAGAATCACTGTTCTTTAGTTAGATAGCATTTAGATAGCATTTGATAAAATGCTATCTAAATGCTACCTATCTAAAGAACAGTGAAAAAATATTGACTTTTATCTTTAATCTACGTATACTTTTTTTTTTCTCATCATGGCAATCGTTTTTTGTTTTTTTGATAATAATTTAGAGACAACTGCGCTCTTTTTACAAGCAATTTTTTTCTTCAAGTTTTTATCCTTAATATTTTTTTTCTTTATATTGAAGTGAAATTGTTTTCTTCAAATTATTTAATTTGTTTTTAAAATATGATAATTTCTAAAGAGCGCTATGGGGTTGTCCGTAAGTTACTTCAGGCTCCAGGGGAGGGGAAGGGAATAGTGGTTTTGTGACAACTTGTACGGGACTTGTTACTAAAGAGTTATGATGTTGTATCGTGGGGGAGGAGGGGGTTGAAAGCAGTAAAAAATTACGTAAACGTAATTTAAGCAAAACCCTTAAGTAAATTTATTACTCCCAATAGCTACTTTTAAATTTTTAAGTAAGTTTACATTAAAACAAACATTTTTGTTTTGTATTCCTCCTTAAAAAGTTTAACACAATTCTTGTAAAGAACTTTATTATAATTTTTCAACATTTTTAAGAACTTAATTTATGATATTTTACTTGATTTTACTTTTAGCGTTGAATTTTAAATTAACTTTAGTTAATTTAAGAATCAAGGTAACTATTTATAAAAATGCGCATTTAAAACTCATTTTTCTTTAAATGTTAACTTTTCATCATATTTATAGAAAAGAAAGAATAAAAATAGGATATTTAAGAGAGTGGAGAGAGGTGGGATGCGGGAAAAGTGGGACATCCCGAATATTCTAATTAGTAGAGGTCCCTAATCAATTCTATCTAATGTAAAAAATGAGGTTTCTTCACCTCTACTTAGCGGACATCGCGTTATCTCCCTGTGGTAAAAACCGCGTTTTTGAGAACTACCCCCAAAAAATAATTTTTCGACGGGAAAAGTGAAATAAAGAAAAATTGTCTTTCATTTCTCTTAACTTTTGTGTTATTATATTGTGTATGTTATATTTTTGTATTGTGGAAATCTTATGAATATTTTGATGAAGATTATGAGATTTACAACTTTGGTTTATAATTTGGTTGTTAATATTAATCTTGAAGCTACAAAATAAAACAAGCTTTTATAAGTTTTAAAGAAGTACCTTAAATAAGACCTGTTTTTACATATACAAATATTTTGTTTTCGCTTTCAGATAAAAGTTTCTAATACATTGGGCATCTCTAAGAAACTTCTACCTTTATATTAAATTTCTTATTTAACTTATGTAAAAGTTTTCTGTAAACGAATGCTGAAATTTATTATTTCTTTTAAACTTTGTTTTTATCTAGTTTTGTATATTTCTAACCAAAAACGCGGTTTGAGTGTAACTCTTTGATAATTTAGATCTGCATGCCATTTTAACCTAAAGTAAAATTAATTTCAAATATTTGATATAGTACTTGTGCTAATATGGATAAAAAGTTATAATTATATAAGCTATGTTTTATGTGAAGTTTCAGGATATTATTAATTAATTTCATGCTACAACTTTTTGATTGGTTAAGCTTTTTTTTTTTTTAAAAAAGATATTTTATACTTGACATAAGATGAAAACGATTTTTTGTGTGATTATACTTTTTTACATCAGTAAATTGCTTGTATCTATCGGAGACGGTTGTTTTGTCTCGGAACAAAATAATCGTCATAAATAATCGGATTTTATGCGTCATTTAACATAGAGATAAAGAGTTACATAATATGAAATTGAGATTGTCGTGAGTTACAAAATCAGGAATGGATATTAGCTCTAGTAATAAAAATTAGAAAAAAATCAACCAGAAGTGTATTAAATATGTCGATTTGCTTAATATCCTATCACGTTTATGACGTAAATGAGTTGTGTAACTATAAAATAAATGAAAACAAAATAAAAAGACAGTATCTCAAAAACTACTCAACGAACTTTTTTTTGCGGTACAAATTCTTAATAAGAACATATTATATTTTAAAATAATTTTGCAGTTGTCGCAAAGAATTATCATTAGAAAATGACTTTATTAGCCATTTTAGTTAGTTTTTTTATTGCATTTTGTGAAGGTAAAACTTTTTTATTACTTTTAATAAATCTAGAACTTATTTATATATTTCTTTTTTTAACTGTTTATTCTTCATTTACATAACTTATTTCCATTAGCCGGCTGGAACATGGAAGAAAACTATTCTTTTGAGCCTTTTTATACACCACAACAAAGTCTATGCATTAAAAATAATATCCGCCCCGATGACGCTTCTATGGACGAAACAGAGTTTAAAATAGTACAAGGTAAGCTTTTACGACTCTATCCATTTAATACTCTTTTAATTCAATATTTAACGCCATGTTTAAATTAAATTAAAAAATGATTATAACCTAAATATGTAACCTTTTTGGTTATATATTTAGGTTTGAAAAAACGGTTAAGGGATACGTTTTATACTGCTTGTGTAAAATATGCGCCATCGTTGTGACCTTAAGCTTATATTTGTCATATATATCTGGAATTTAATCTATTATTAGAAACAAGTACAAAAATTATAAAAATTCTTGATTTGGAACAACTTTTTAAATTTCAAAAACTGTTTATATAATAATTTGCTTATAAGCAAAAACTACAAATACACATTAAGTTCAAATTCGAACATGTTGAACAACATTCGAACATGTTGAACAATATTTGAACATGTTGAACAACAGTGCTGGAAGTTAAAACTTATATGATATGGTTTTATACTATGGTTTGTTTAAGTAGTTTTTTCAAATTAAACTTTTTACGTTTTTAAAAAGTAATTTTTTAATTTTTAATATATAAGTTAACTTACAAAGTTTTATGGCATAATCTATCACGGCGTAATTTATGGCATTTAAACAAATGTTTTATGACAGTTCCAAATAATTTTATTTAAATCTAAAGTAGCACTCTCTAAAATTTCAAAGAAGCTTCTTTTTGTTTTTTTTCAAAATTTTGAGGGTATCGTCAAAATTTTAAAGAAACACCTGAATTAACATTCATTGTTTAATTTTTCAATTTTTTAGATAAATTAAAAACTTTTTTTTAGGCTTGAATGGAATGATTAACACAGTATCTTTTCAAAGTAAAAAAAATTCCAGCATCTATATTCGTCATCAAAATAACGACGTCAAGACTTATCAGTTTGAAGACTCAGCTTTGTTTAGAAACGAATCTTCTTTTTTTATACGAGAAAGAAAGTATTTTCCTGACTATGTTTCCATCGAATCCGCATGTTACCGTGGTCGTTACCTACGATACCAGTACCCAGTTTTAGTCTTGAACGAAGAAAAAGCCGACATGGATTTCTATCGACGAGAAACTAGCTTTAAACTTAGACCCAGCGGTAAACCTATTTACAATATTTACATAAATAAAAGTTAAATATTAAACTGGATTTAATATTTAACAAAAATTAAAGACACAACCTCATCGCGTCAAACTAATTTTTTCGTGTCAAAAGAGCCATAAATAGTTTTTGTTAGAACGAGAACAACTTTTGGAAAAGAAAAATACAAAAAAAAAACAATAATAATAATAATGATAAAGAATAAATAAAAAAACTCTTTGAAAAAGAAACTCATTTCTATTTTATGGAAGTCTTTTCCCGATTTATAGTTTAGAATTTGATCAATAGGCATTTTATTTTATTTTACTTTAAAATTATAACAATAACAATTTTAAAAAGAAAAAGCTTAAAAATTGAATTAAAATTATTTTTTAAGATTTGATATACATTGGATACACTTACACATTTTCTTCCTACACTTATCAAGACTATCGCATTGGTGTGAAAGATGACGGAGTGCTTGTGGGAATTAAATACATGAGTGCTGATGAATATGTAGTTACAAAAGGTACGTTATTTGTAAAATAATGTTTTTTTCATTTTTGCAAAACTTAAATTTTTTTATTTTACTTTTTTGAATAATTTGTTACAAACTATTATCTTTAAAGGTTTGAACGGACAAAACGGGACTGTATCTTTTCAGTCGGCTAAAGACAGCAACAAGTATCTACGTCATCAAAACTTTATTTTAAAACTTCATCAATACGACAACACTAGTTTGTTTAAAAATGATGCGTCGTTTTTTGTTCGCGAAAATCAGTATTTTAATGATTTCGTTGCCTTCGAGTCAACTAATTATCCTAATTATTTTCTACGACAACAAAATTTTAATTTGGTGTTGCAATCAGAAATGGACTTGGAATCTTACATAATGGATGCTAGCTTCCAACCATTACAATGTGGTAATATACGTTTTATATTTATATATTTTTGATTTAGCTTATATTGAATATTTCTAATTATTTCAGATCAATTAAAATATTTTGGTCATAAATATAGCTTTGGTAAAACTACTTTTTAGGAACAAATAAAATTGGATATTCCTTTTCATTTGAATCTTATAACGCTTTTCAATATCGAATTGGTGTAAACAAGGACTTAACTGTATCCTTAATTTATATGGGTGTGGATGAATTCACTATTGTGAAAGGTGAGATTAAACTCATAAAAAGTAATAACAGTAATATTAAAAGTATTATAATAATAATATTAATAAATCGTAATAGTTACCATAATAATAAAAACTACAACAACAACAACTACGACAAAAATACAAATTAGTGCAGATATTTGGGTCATTTTTATTTATATAAATTATATTGTTTATTTTTTTATCAGATATTTTATACATCATTATTCTTTGAATTAGATAAAAACAGTTTTCATTGTATCACTTTAGAAAAATATTGATAATCGTATAGATTTTTTTTTATGCATATAAATATTTTTAAAAACATCTTTTAATTTTTTTTTTTTTTTCATTTTATGTAATTTGTATTAAAAATTAAATTATAAAAAAATTTTTTTGTTTGTACTTGACAATAGTTTGTACTTGACAATAGTTTGTACATGACAATGAAAATTTATATACAATATAACATGTAATTGCGCTCAAATAAAAACTGTGAGCGCCAAATGCAGATAAACAATTTTTCAAGGACAAATATTGTAATGCAATATTCTCTCACAGGTAGTTTCATCATTATCACAGGTAGTCTCATCATTACTTGACTAAGTAAAATAAGTGTTGTTTTTTTTAAAACCTAAAATCTCGACTAAAATTTTCCCCGCTTAATGTTGTAGTTAAAATATTTTTTAGGTTTAAATGGACAGGTTAACAGTGTATCTTTTCAATCGGTCGCAAATGAGAGCATGTACTTGTGTGAACAGAGCTCTATCTTAAGAATGGTTAGTTTTGTCAATACAGCTCAAATGAAAAATGGAGCATCATTTTTTATTCGTGAAAAGAAATACTTTCCTGGCTACGCATCATTTGAATCAACGAGAAACTCAGGTTACTTCATTGCAACTCAAAATGATGGATCTCTTTTGGTTCAAAAAGAAATCAGTTTAATTGCGTTCCAAAAAAGCGCAAGCTTTAGGCTAGTACCACATGGTAAGAAAAAATTGTAAAATCTTGAACCGGTAATTTAAATTATTTTTATCTGCAATATGTTTTATTACAAAACTATATTGATAAAAATACTCTTTCCAGGTGAGAGATACATTGGTTTATCTTACCAATTGGCTTCATATAACTATCCGACATATAGTATTAGCGTTAAGCCTGACAACACAACTGCTATTGTTACTGGTGACCAAGTAATGTTTACTTTTACAAAATGTAAGTTGATTAAATTTTTAAACTAGTAGTTTTATTGTTTATGTGTAGTATAAAAAATGTTATTTAAACATTAGAACAATTTTTTTATCTTTAGCTCTCAATGGACGATTTTGTGCTGCATCCCTGAGTTTGAGTGATAGTACAAATAGCTATTTGAGAAATCAATCTTTTCTCATAAAACTAGACAAGTTAGAAAATACTGTGTCGTTTAGAAATGCTGGATCATTTATAATTCACCAAAATAGATATTATCCAGGTTGCGTTTCATTTGAATCAACTAAATATCCTGGATACTTTATTCGACATGAAGTTTGCGTATTGAAATTACAAGAAGAAGACATAGAGGATGAGCTTTACAGAAAAAATGCCAGTTTTAAACTAATCGTTATTGACGACAGCGTTATTGAAGGCGAGGAAATTAATGAAATAAGTTGAGAACTTTTGTTTACTTTGCAATTTTGATTAAAAAATATTAAAGCTTAAGTTTACTTTGTAACTTTTGTTGAAAAATATAAAAACTTAAGTGTTTTTTGTAATGTTGATATCAATAGCTAAATATAAGTCAGATGTTACATATTTAACTTTTATTTTATTATGAAAATATTCTCACAGTTTAAAAAATGCGAACCCCCACTTTAATTACGACTCCTCTCCCCTCCCCTTGTTTATTTTGGGCCTTAGACTACGTGATTTGAAAATAATTTGATTTTGAGATAGCGTTGTGTTTTGCTTTGTTTGTTTGTCGCTGAATAAATAATTTTATTTAGAGATTTATTTCATAAATAATTTACGAAATAATTTATGCAAGCGTTCAAAATTGTATTCTTTTCAGTAGGTTTGCAACCATCTTTTCACATTTACAATATATATATTTATTAAAAAAAAAATAATTAATTTTCAAATTGTTTCATATGAAAAGGTGATTCATTTTCGTCATGAACTTCTTCGTCAAAGTCATAATCATAGCTTGGAGGACGACAAATTACTAACGGCTGCCTATTTACTCGTCTATCTAATGAAAGAGTATTTGCCCGTCTTCGTTCCTGTTCCAAAATGCACGACATTTTCTTTTTAGATAACGGTGTAGTTGACCCAATATCGCTAGAAGAACGCATTAGTCGTGACTTAGGGACTTTACAGACAGTCATAACACTTGATGCACCAAATATTGATGACGCAGTAGAGCCACGCGAACTTAGCCGGTCTCTAATAGCATCAAAAGGATCTACAACATGGCAGTTCTAAAATCAAATTGAGATTAATTTTATATAAATGCATTTATTTAAAAAAAATTAAAAAACTATCTCATTGTAAAAAATTCTTACTTCACTCATTTATTTACTTAAAAAAAATTTATTTTACTCAAACAATTATACCTGAATGATGTGATAATAAAAAAAGTAAACTATGTTTTGTACAATAAAATGACTATGCATTTCAAAACTTAAGCAAAAAAAAACTTTTTTTAGGAGTTGCTCAAGACATCAATTAACATCAACATTAGCTAATTCTTTAAAGTTGTAAAGTTAATAATAATAAGTAAGTTGAATAAGATAATAAAATTAATTTAATATAAATAATAAAATCATACATAACAAGCATAAATAAACATAATAATAAAGAATATAATAAATTTAAAGCTAAAAATACTATGATGAAATCCCTCTAAAGAGTACAAGAGGTCGTTTATAAATGACGTCACGCTCTGTGGGGGAAGGAGGAAAGGGGGTTAGTGGATTTGTGACGACTCATACAAAACTTGCTACTAAAGTGTTCCAATTTTGTAACAAAGAAGGGGGGAGGGTCAAAAACGGTCGAAAATTGCGTGACGTAATTTAGACGACCCCTAAGGTAAAATTATAAAATATTGACCTGATATTTTTGAAACTACTTTTAAAACTAGAATGATTAATATATTTTTTGATAACTGAATTAACATGTAAATTTAAGATAAACTACATTTAAGAAGAAGGGAGAGGGGGAGGGGGTTTGAGGGAATAAAATTGTAAAAGAGAAAATAAAAAAGTAGTCTTCCTGACTAAAATTTCATCTTCTTCTTGGGAAAATAAATTTTAAAAAAGGTTTTTTCTTAATTAGACAATTACGAACGGTAAGAAATCATGTTCAATTGAAATTGTGGGTAAATGTATTTTGTATGTATGCAAAACTTGTTTAAATTCGTAATCTTCAGTTTCAGTTCACGTTTACTACTAAATTAACAGCCAGTAGTAGAAAGAATAAAAAAATTTAACAACCAGGAACTAGTAAAAGGGTAAAAAACTAGTAGGAAGGTAAAAAAGCTAGTAGAAGGGTAAAAAATTTTGTTAAGCTTTAACTGAAACTTACATTTATCTTATTTAAAAAGTACAGCCACATAACGTCAGCATTTATCAGTGGATATCAATGTTTTTATTAACCTAATTCATACCAAAAAGCATCAAAGTATTGTAAATCATTTAGCTTTAAGACAATGAAAACTTTCTCAAGAATAAAATAGATAACAATATTTAAAGTAAAGATAGTAGTATGTGAGTATTACTGAGTTTAAAGGTTCTGCACCAAAAAAAGAAATGGGACAATGCAGATGTATTTAAGCCTTATTTGGTGATTTTTATTTGGACCTGCCCAAGCAGAGATTTGATATTAAAACATATATTTTCTACTACACAAATATTGATCTGTTTGACCTAACTATCCAATGCTGTTTACAAAATATATTTAAAAAAAGATTTTACAAAAAGTAGTTATTTATTAGTCATTAGTATTGAACAAATGCATAGAAAAATTTTAAGGAATTTTTTAAGAGTAACTATTTGATATTATTTTAAAAAGAAATTGTTTAAAAACTTATGAAATAAATAAAATTTCTTAGTTTTATACATAATAACAAACTAATAATTAGTAATTTTTAATAGTTTAATATAATAATTAATAGTTTGTAATTATTAATTACTACTTTGGCAAAATAACAGACATTCTCTGCTATTAAAGAAAAAAAAAAATATTTATTTAATTTATTTTTGCATTATTTTATTATAAATTATATATTTCATCATTAAATATATTATATTATTTAAAATTGATTTATTTTTGTTTATATAATTAATATTTATTTCTAAAGATTTTTTCTGTCTTGAAATGAAAAAAAATATTTACAGCAGTTTGTTTGACTTTTCAGTAATTGCCCTTTATAGTTTAATCTTAGAAGTAATCAACAAAGAAAAAAGCAAATCAGCAAAAACATTTCTGATTTTTTTTTAGTAGAGCAAATTAGAAAAAAAAAAAAAACGTTTTCCTTAACAACTTATGGTTCTGTTTACAGAACAAATCTTTGAGATGCTACAATTTATTTTTGAGCCATTATTTTTTTCAGCTTTTATGTTTTTAACCTTGTTTTTGCTTATTACTGTTTTCACTATTTTGTATACCATATATCAAGGAATACCGCTTTACAACATCAAACAACATATAATCAACAATTTCAGAATGAAAGATATTTTCCCTGTTAATGGGCATGACCATTTCACAAAGAGTGAGTATAATAGGTGTATCAAAAAGGAGCTATTCAAGTCAAAGAGATATCTTTTAGCAACTTCTTAATAAAATTTTTTCCAACCATTTACTCAAGGAACCTGAAAAACTCTGGCCATAAGGCTTGGTTACAGTCTGGCTGGACAATGTATACCAAATAAAACCTAATCAAGACGTCATTTCTTTACTTGACCCTTCAAAGTTTTTAGTCCATTTGTACATATGTCCATCGGTGTCCATTTGTACATATTTCGAATATTTCAATTAAGTAGTTGGTTATTGGAATGCTCAATTTCAAGTCCATTCCTATTAAATGGAGGTTTCTTTTGACAATGTTTTGGGTTTTAAATGGAAGACCTTTATATGTACCTCACAGTACAACTTATGATATTACAACTATTTTTAGACTGAGTTAATATAAATTTTAATAAAAATTAATATTAACTATAAAATAACACAAAAGCTAAAATTTTAAAATAAAACTTTTGGTGTAAAAAAGTTCGTAACTGAATCTTAACCTTGCTTCTATAATTATATTTCTACATTTATTGATGATGTGATATATGATATAAAAAATGTAAATTTTTAAATATAATATATATCAAATTGATATAAAATAAAAAAAATTTCAATTTTCAATATAATATATTAAATTACAAAAAAAAAATGTAAATTTTTGAACAAAATGTATAAAAATATAAAGCATAAAGTCTAACATGCTTAAGAAACCGATTGTCATAGCAAATAAAAATTAAAAATATTTTTAACCTCGTTGTACATGTTGCTAGGATCATAGTCATACTTTTCTGTTGATCTATTAAGAAAACCAGTCATTTGAATATAAGATTGAGGCTCCCCAACTTGAGATACTGACTCAAAACCATTGTCCCTAAGTAAGACATAAAGTATATTTTATTTTATTTACATATTTATTTATTACATATTTTATTTACTACAATACAAGCTACTACAATTTTAAAAATATTGTTACAATTTACTAGAAGTTTAAAATTATCAGTTCAAATCATGATATTCGATAAAATCAGTTTAAATTATGACATTTGATAAAATATCAAGATTTAAAATAATTACAGTAAAGTCATAAACTTTAATTAGTTTATGACTTTAAAATAAAAAATTATTTAACATAAAAACTTTACAACTTACTAGTTTTTTTATATATTTTTATACTATGTAAAAGGCCTTAGTACATAAAACTTAAACTAATCGTAGTACATAAAACTTAAACTAATCGTACGATAAATGTATACATTTTTTAACACATCATAATATGATCAGAGATGTAGGCTTCAAGATTTAAATCTTAGTCAATGTAACTGTCTTGGTCTTGGAATCTTGGTCCTAGTCTAGATATTGGAATTGGAATCTTGGTCTTAGTCTAGCTTGGAATCTTGGTCATAGTCTAGATATTGAGTCTTAGTCTTGGTCTAATGTTATCATATTATGTTGCATTATAAAATGCATTATTCTTTAAAGTTATTGCATAACATGCAATAGTATAGCAGGTATGTCAAGTGAATCAGTTTGATTTTTAATGTTTATTTGGTTTACTACAAATATTTTAGTTTTAATGTGCATTAGATAAAACAGGCCAACAAAATTTTACTTTTGTACATTTTTTTTTGCATACAAAATGTACGTTTGAAATGTTTTTCTTATTCCTCATACTGATTTTAAGTATGCAATCCTTTTTTTTATATCGTGTCAAGTTTTAAAAATATTAGGGTTCAAATTCCTAATATTTGGGGTAAAAAAATTCTTCAAAAATATGTCAACCTGGGTCTCTTAAAAAGCGTTTTTTTACAGAGATTTAAAAAAAAATAAACATTTTTATTTAAAATTTATTGACAAAAAAGGGATTTGAACCCTAATATCTTGAAAACTTGACGTGATTGAAGAAAAAAGGATAGCATATTTGAAATCAGAATGAGGAATACTATAAAAAAAATATATACTGTATGCAAAAAAAAAAGTACAGAATTAAAATTTTGTTGGCCTGTGTAACCAGTGTATTAGATAAGTTTAGATAAGCAGTATATCAGATATAATTAGATAACTAATGTACACAAAATAACTAGTACTATCTTTTTTAATTTTTTTCTAATGGCTTTAGTTTGCATAAAAATGTTTGAAGTTAAAACACTTTATTGTATGGTAAATGTTTATTAAGTTTAAAAACACTTTATTTTATGATAAGTGTTTTATTCAATTTTAGTTCTGTTAAGTTGTTTTTATCTTTTTGACGCAATCATTCTAGTAGGAAATTTAGTTAGCAACCAAATCTAGTAGGGGTATTTATTATGTTTTTTTTCTTCACTATTTAATAGCAGAACTATTAGAATATGTAAATAATGTAATAGTTTGTGTATAAATACTTTAATTTTTACTTTGATATTTTATATTATGCCAACAGGCTTTTTATTTTTTATTTTTTTGATGCGACCATTCTAGTAGGAAATTTAGTTAGCAACCAGATCTAGTAAGGGTATTTATTATGTTTTTTCTGCACTATTTAGTAGCAGAACTATTAGAATATGTAAATAATGTAATAGTTTGTGCATAAATACTTTAATTTTTACTTTGGTATTTTATATTATGCCAACAGGTTTGACTGGCGATATAAAAAATGTTGTTCATCATTTGTATCATTTACAACATTGTGATTTTTTATATGCATTTAATATTTTTAAAAATAGTTCCAAGACAGTCTAAATAAAATGGTGAATTGAGTTCAAATTGATCAGAAAAGATATAAGCACAATCTTTGGGATTTAACTTGTAATGAATTTGTAAATTTCCAAGAACAACTAAGTAGAGAAGAAAAACTATGGAAATATTTTTAAAATATCAGAAAGAGAAGTTAATGCGCAAGATTATACTTTACAGTTAAATGTAAGCATATACAAATAGTGTTTATCAGTAATACACTATTACATATACAAGTAGTGTTTATCAGTAATACACTATTACATATCAAAGTAGTGTTTATCAGTAATACACTATTATTTATTATTGTATAATTATTTTTATTTGTTTATATTTAACTAATGTGAAGTGCTCGTCTAAAGTAAAAATAAATTAATTTATGCACCCACTTTTATATTTATTATGTTTTTACATTACTTAATAAATTTTATACTTAATAAATCATATATCTATTATATTTATTATGTTTTAAATAGTAAAGTGAAAACATAATAAATTTTTGAATTTATAAGTGTGTGCATTAAGTCCTTTTGTTTTTAACTTTATCATTTTGTCCAAATTACCACATTATAAGCAAGCAGATTTGACTGGCTATAGAAATGTTTTACATTTTTCAGATAGATCAGATAAAGTTAGTTCTTTTAAAATTAACATTTGTAAGTAATAATATATTATTTTTGTCTTGTTATATATAAATATTACCAACATACAGGTAACATTTATATATTTGCATAGATCTATTCATTTTAACCCCATCAATTCATTTAAATTACTGCATTATTAGCAGGCAGGTTTGAGTGGTGATAGAAATAATGTTTTATATCTTTTAGTAGGGATGTGTAGTCCCCAAGAGGACTCCGGATTTAAATGTCACAAAAAAATTACTTCTTCCTAGTTTTAGGTATTCAGGAGCTCTAATAATATAAAAAATATTTATGGACCACCATTGGTAAAAAAAAACTTGGACTTTTAGGTTGGAGGAACTTTTTGAACCCAGATTCCTTAGGTATAATGGTGCCAAGTACTCCAGGACTCCGGGCTTAAAAACAATATGTTTCAAGTCATTGAATTTAATGAGTTTTTTTTACATAGCAGATCATAAGTCAACCAACATTTTCTTCTGGAAACCAGAGATAAGGAAAAAACAGAGATATAAAGCCAGAGTCTTTTTGGGACTGTCTTTCAGATAGTTAAAATGAAGAGGTAAGTTTTTTTAAATTACCATTTATAAGTAATAATATATTTGCTGCTGCCTTATTCTATATAAATGTTACCAACATACAGGGAACATTTGTATATGTGGATTAATCTTATTATTTTAACTTTATCATTTTATTTAAATAACTACATCATCAGCAGGGAGGTCTAACAAGCAATATAAATGATGTTGCGCATCATGCAGATAGCTCCAATGAAGAATTAAGTTTTTTTTTTTTTAAATTACAATTTATAAGTAATACTATAAATTTTTGCTGCCTTGTTCTATATAAATGTTACTAACATTTATATACTAACATAAGTTAACATTTATGTATGTATTAGTTAGCATAAATCTTTTTATTTTAATTAATATTATTTAAATTACTACATTATAAGCAGAAAGACTTGAAAAAGATTGGAAATATAAATGATGTTGTACACCATGCACCATGAAATGGTTTCTGCTGCAGTTGGCAGTGCAACCGCATTTATAAATGACCTAGATATTTTTTGGCGTTGAATATGCTAATAAGCGATCCCACAGATTAAAAGAACTCAATAATATTAGCAAGCTGCATGATAAAATTTGCATTTTATGGTTTATATGACAATTGAAAAAACATTAGATTTCAAAAAATTTAAAAACAAAATGTGCTATTTGACCATGGAAAACCCATGGAATTTTCATGGGTATTTGGAACACCTTTCCAAAAAAAAAAAAAAATGGATTTTACATGAAAAACTCAAGGTTTCCAAGTGTTCTAATTACCCATGGAAATTCTATAGGAAAACCATGGGTTTTTAAATAGATTTTCCAGGCAAATTTTCTGTATAGGACACTACATAAAAATAAAGTTCAGCCTGTAGTTTTAAAGAGCGCGTTAATAAACCAGACCAGAAAAAGTTTAAAATCTTAAATTTTTTTTTTTTTTAAATGATAGACTGCCTGCCCAAACCAAACCCCCAGTCAATGTAGCAGCACTCCCTTGCGAGCCAGGCTATTTGTTAGTCATTGTAGCAGCATTCCCTTGCGAGTCAGGCTATTTGTCAGTCGATGTAGCAGCACTCCCTTGCGAGTCAGGCTATTTGTCAGTCGATGTAGCAGCACTCCGTTGCGAGTCAGGCTATAAGATAGTCGATGTAGAAACACTCCCTTGTAGCAGCAGGCTATAAGATAGTTGATGTAGCAACATTTACGCTTGTAGCAGCAGGCTATAAGATAGTCGATGTAGCAACATTTCATAAAACAAAAACAAAAACACCACTAATTAAAAAAAACTTTCTAGTCTTTATTATTGCGGTTTTTTAAAAAATTTTTAAAAAACAATTAAATTTTATGTACTTCCGCATTAATTTAATTGCTTTGACATTTCGACGACAATCAAATACAGCTTAAAAGACGAGGTAATTAAAATTGTAGTCGAAAGAGACTTTTTTTACATTAAAAGACTCTTTCGACTACACTATAAGGATATATATATATATATATATATATATATATATATATATATATATATATATATATAAAGAATATGAATAAATTAACATAAATTATTGTTTCATACCACATTCTCATTTTTGATGATGAACTGAGATCATGCAAAGTTGTATGTGGTGTATTGTTTTCATTTCTAAACAAAAAATTTTTCTTTTTAAATTAACTTTCATAATACATTCTTATATTCACCTATTTAATTATTGTTATATTAAATATAAGAATTGTTTTTAATATTATTTCTAATGTAATTTTAATAATTTGTACTATACTTTGGACTGTTGAATCACAATAAAATATAAAAAAAATCTTTAACACAATAAAATACAAAAAAAATCTTAGGATATTGTTTTATCATTTTTTGTATATGTTACTAGAAAACATAGTTAACATCAGAAAGTCAGTTTTTGAACTTAGGAAGCATTAGTGTTAGAGATCTTCAATAGTGGAAATAAGTACTTCTAATCATTCACATTAGCCTTCAAAAAATCTCATAAGAAATAATTTTTTATCTGTTTTCTATTTGGATGTTTTTGAATTTAATTTTTTTTATTTTTTTTTTTATTATATAAATTTTAATTATTATGGAAACACATAATATTGTCAATAAATATACAATCACTGTTGTTATTGTTTTTAATAATATTCATATGGTTTTCTTATTTATGGTAGAGTGTGTTCTTGGCAACTCAAGATATTTACTCATAAAACTGATTTTGAAAAATTCCATTATGACAGAAACTATTAAATGTAAGCATAAACAAAAAGACAAAGTCAAAGTTTTCAGATTTTATCATATTCTTAATTTTGTTGAAAGTGAAACAACATGTTGTTGAAATCAAATCAGGAAAAATGATTAATCACTTTTTATATAAAAATCTGAAAACTTTATGCTCTTTGAGAAAATATATTTATTAGCTTTGTTAAAGTAAGTCACATCTATAATTATGATTAAGTTAACAAATCCAAAAAGCTTCTGTACAGCTCTGAGATTAACTTTTTTAAATCATTTATGATAACAACTTTTACCTTATTTCTTACTTTTATCTTATTTCTTTTATCTTACTTTCTTATCTTTTTATTTCTTTGGTTCAATAAGTTTCAGCCATTAGTTTTATCTAAATTTTGCTTCAGCTAAATCACTGCAAGTTGTTAATTGGTAAGCAAACTGGGAAATTTAAAGGGTTTGTTTTTTTATTAACTTGATTTTTTATTTTTTTAACCAAAAAACAGCAGAATCTGCATAACAGCTTGAAGCTATTTCAAAATTATTGCAAAATATTGGGTTAGAATATTTATTAGTCATCAGAATGTTTCAATTAAAAAAAAATTGAATAGTTGAAACTAATTTGATTTATATATATATATATATATATATATATATATATATATATATATATATATATATATATATATATATATATATATATATATATATATATATATATATATATATATATATATATATATATATATATATATATATATATATATATATATATATATATATATATATTTATATACATATATATATATATATATATATATATATATATATATATAAATATATATATATATATATATATATATATATATATGTATATATGTATATTAATATATATTTATATATACAAATATATAGGCCTCGGCAGGAAGTGAGAGCTTTAGCTCTTGCCCACACTCCCCTGAAACGGTTTATGAAAGCTGTTTACGGCTCTCGCAAAAGTATAATTTTTCTCATAAAAGTATAATTATCATTTTAAATAAAAAATAAAAAACACACATGTCATTTTAAAAAAATTAATTGCAAAATATACTGAAATGCTTTTTAAAGTCAGTTGCAATAGTTGCAAAAAAAAAAAATTAGAATTAAAAAAGAGTGCTGATTTAAATGAGGAGCAGCTCGCACAGCTTCCCAAATTTGTTTTAGGAATGCTTTTCTCCGCTCTTGTATTCATTTATTCTCGCTGAGGCCTGCATATATGTATATATATATACATATACATATACATACATACATATATATATATATATATATATATATATATATATATATATATATATATATATATATATATATATATATGTATATATATATATATATATATATATATATATATATATATATAAATTTATACATAAATTTTAAATTTTCACCTTCTCTTTGTCTTTATCAAAACTAAAGTAAAAATGACGCCAAAAATCACAATCATGCCAACAAAACCCAAGACTGCATAAACAATAGGGTTTACTTTATCTGACTCCTTTTTTTTAGAGGTACTTGTGTAACTTCCAACAATTGGAATTCCATTTAAATTCCATCCAGTAATATTCCAGTCATGACGAAACCGGAATATCAAATCACTTTTCGAGGAGTCTAATATGCTGTAAAAATTTTTCTTTTTAAAAAAAATGTCTTTTGAACAAAATAATTTTTTTTTTTAACCATTATCAAAAAAGTTGAATTACCTAATAATTTTTTCTTTTTTTGTCAAAGCAAATGTGTCAACATTGAATCCATGAAATGTAAAAACAGTGCTAAAAATAAAATAAAAGATATTATAATTGTTTTACAACTTGACAATGAAAGTATGTACGCTTATTACAATCGAAGTATATATTTCAGATATTCTTATTTTTGTATAACAACATCAATGTTTTGAGCCCATCTCTAAGTTGCTTGGTCGTCATTAAGTATTTATCATAAAATGTCAGCTTTAAGTTTTTTTTTATTTTAAAGACTAGAAAAAAAAATTTTTTTTTCTTATTGTTTTAATTAATTTGATACACTGCCTGCCCAAAACAAAGCCTCAGTCGATGTAGCAGCACTCTGTTTCAAGTCAGGCTATTTGTCAGTCGATATAGCAGTACTCTGTTGCAAGTCAGGCTATAAGATAATGGATGTAGCAACACTCCGTGCATGTTTTATAGTTAAAAAAGAAAAAGAAAAACAATCAGAATGTTTTTATTTTTAAAAAATAAAATAAAAACATTTTACAAAACAAAAACAACATTTTACAAAACAACAACAACAAAAAAACAACATTTGATAAAACAAAAAACTTTTTAAAAACATTTCAGTCTTTTAATTTGTAGTTTTGTAGTTTAATTAGTTCCTGCAATTAAAATAATGCGTTTTGACATAATGTATTCTTGTTTTTTGTTAATTTTAATACCACAAACAAGCTAAGAGCTGTTTTTAACTACAAACTGAATATCTAAGCACTTTATCATAGGTGTGTGTGTATATATATATATATATATATATATATATATATATATATATATATATATATATATATATATATATATATATATATATATATATATATATATATATATAAGCAAAAATTAGACTTTTGGGAGTAAAGAACCTTGTGGTAGAAAAAGAATCACATGAGTATATAAAAGTTTAAAAAATATGACTTTTTTGAATTTTTATGTTCTCATTTTGAAATGAGTTCTTTGATGAAGAGTTTTTTTATTTTTTTCTATGATGAAGACATTTTTGAAAAAAATTAAAAAACTGTAATAATAAAATCGTACAATTAAATCTAAAATTAAACAATTAAATTTATACAATTTAATAATTGTTACTGTATAATTGAATTTATACAACTTAATAAAGAATAAATAAATAACAAAAAAGATGATGAAATTACCTTTCAGGATGAGCTCCTTTTTCAATCAAATCTGTGGCAATGCCCATTTCAAGTATCGACCTTAACTGACTTTAAAATTTTTAAAATGACAATAAAGGACTTGATGACTGAAAAAAAAAAGATGCCTTAATAAAGGATTCTTACCTTAGAATAGTTTCTTCATTTTTTGTGACTGTTTGAATAGGTGAATTCATATAGAGAGCAACACTGCTCAAACCTCTTTTGTCAACTGTCATAGAAACAGTCATTTTATTTTGACAGTTATTGGAAGGAGGGTTGCCATTGTTGTCATATGCCTCAACAACCAATTGGAATTTATTATTTGTGTATGCTGCTAATGAATCAATGAGTTTTATTTGACCTGTTTTCTGATCAATATGAAAACGCTGCAGGTCATTTCCACTTAATACACGGTAGGATATATCACCATAACTGCCAGTATCTTTGTCCGTTGCCTACAGTAAATTACTAAAAATTAAATATTTTGTAAACAAAATAAGTGAGCTTCTAAAAATAATAAAAGTTGAATAAACTGTTCAGTTATTACTGGCAGCAAAAAAAAAATTAAAATGGCCATTTAGAAGTAAAAGAAAAAAAAATTGAAAACAACAGATTTTATATTTAGTTTTCCATCTCCTTAGTAAGTTGGCTTTACCATGGCCAAGTAGCCTTACCTCCCCTAACTTATGTTTTCTTCAAACCAGAAAAAATAAAAAGCAATGATATACAAAGAACATAAAAATAATATAATATATAAATTTTTTTTAACTCAAAACAAAAAACCAGTTAACATTTGTTTTTAATTCTTTGAGAGGGCCTAGGGTATAGGATGAATGGTATTTTTAACATAAAGCAAGTCGAGTATTAAATGAAATTGAATTAATGTTGACAATTGAAACTACTATCAAAATCTATTTGAGTAAATTTTAAAAGTGCATACACTTGAATAATTTCGACTTTTTATTTAAATACTAATATGATATATTAAATACTATAATGAGACAGAATATATCAACCATAATATTCAAAACAATTTATTAAAATTTTGAAGAATAAATTGAAAGCAGATTTATTAATTACCTCTACTTTAACAACAGGTGCATTAATTTCTTCATCATAACGTATGTTCTTGTACAGATGTAGCTGTTTAAAGATTGGTATATTGTCGTTTTCATCCAAAACATTTATTTTTACTTTTGTAGTAGAAAATCTAAAAAAAAATTGGTATTTTGTCATTTTCATCTAAAACATTTATTTTCACTTTTATATTAAAAAACTGAAAAAAGTTGTTATGTCTGTCAAAGAAAACTTTTTTTGTTTGTCCGATATATTTCTTAAATCTAATTATATTTTCGAAAATTTCCATAATACAACTAGCTAGAGTGTCTTCAAAAATTTTCATAATACAACTGGCTAGAGTATCTTCAAAAATTGTCATAGTACAACTAGCTAGAGTGTCTTCAAAAATTTCCATAATACAACTAGCTAGAGTGTCTTCAAAAATTTCCATAATACAACTAACTAGAGTGTCTGCAAAAATTCCCATAATACAACTAGCTAGAGTGTCCTCTCAAAAATTTAAAGCTTATAAAAGTTTAAAAAATATGAGCTTAAAGTTTTTCAAAAATATTTTTAAAACCTTTTTTATTTTGCAATTTTATAATACAATAAAAAAGGTAAGTATTAGGGTGTGTCAATTTGATGACTAAAACCTAATATTTTCAAAAAAAGAAATTTTATAGTGAAATTATGGTAGAATTTCATAAATGAAATGGAGTAATACTTTTAAAAATTAAATTAAATTAGGCGATAGCTACATTTTTTGGGGTTTTTATGTATTTAATTTGCTAATATTTTAAAAATCGTTAAAACAATGACGTATTTCGTTTAAAATGTATTTTGTTTTTAAAAATTTAACTTTAAGTGGAAGAAATTTATTTCGGACCTATTAGGAGATATTTTCAAAACTTAAACGCTTAGCTTCATAAAAATAAATTAAAAATAAAATTACTTGGATTATTGAAAAATTATATTTTAATAAAAATAATGGCACCAAAAATCACAAGAAATTTATCAGCTACTCACTTAAGTAGATATGTTGAAAAAGGAAAACCCCTTTTACCATCTGAGCTCCCTACTGCAAGGGACATTTTAAGATATGGATTAATTTTAAGTGAGACCAGTGACCTTAATAAAAGAAGTTATACTGTCGATAAACTAGTTAATGATATGACTCTTGCTTTATCTGCTCAAAAAAAAAAAAGCTAATTGCAAGTTTTTACATCCAGTAGTAATAAAAGAATGTAGTATTAAAGCTAAATTGAAGTATCTGTGGGAAACTGCAGTTAAAGTTAGTCTTGGAAATGCAAAAAAATCAATAAAGGATAGTTTTATTCCAAAAATTGACAAACTTGTTGATATTTTATCTTGTAAATGTTTAATAATGTTATGTTCAGAGTATGGTTGTGATCAAGGCTGTAAAAAGCATGCGCATATTAAATGTATGTGTGTACGCGAAAATAAAATTCCTGTTATAGAACTCAGCTTTATCAAGTCACAGAGAGCCGAAGTTAGAAGTTTTGCCCATTACTATATTGGTGGAGTTGACACAATAGAATAAAAAAAAATAAAACAAGTTGTAAAGAGAAAAGAGGAGTATCAGCAGCAATTAGAAATGAGAGTTAAAAAAGAAGAAAAACTCAACAAAATGATTCCAGAAGATTATAATTGCCTTGCACAGATTAATCAAGTAATAATAAAATATATTTGTTGGTAAATAATTATAATATAACTATTTTTAAAGAAATTAAATGTTGATAAGGTGATTTATAAAAATATTTCAATATTTTTTTTTTACTTTTTAGACTTTTCATAAACCATTAACTTAATGATAATAACACAAAGTTTAAGTCTTGTATTAATTTTTTTAGATTGAAAAAACAAAGTTGACTCAGAACCAAATATTTCTGGAGAACCAGAACCTTCCAATAATATTGTAAAGGTTTATAACAGAATGGACATAACAAACATTGCACTTGCTAGTATGAGGCATCACGCTAGCTTACAAGAAACCGCAGAAATAGCGACAGCAGCACTTATAGATGCAAAAATTATAACAAAGAATGATATATTAATGATTATTGATCACAGAAAGGTTAAATGGGCGCAAGAGAAGTTAGCAATCAAATTAGATAATAAATTTAATAAAGATCTTGAAAATAATGTGGTTTCCTGTATTTTTTTTGATGTCAGGAAAGATAATACAAAAGTATTAACGGAATTTGATGGTAGGTATTTCCCTGGTCTTCTTAAGTAAGAATAATATTCTGTCGTTACTGAACCAAGTGGTAAATAGTTATTTCATTTTGTTCCTGATAAAACTGATCACAGAAAACATGCTGAGGTAATTGCAGACCACTTGGTTAACTGTTTGGTGGAAAGAAATTTAGGAACACAAATTAAAGCTATAGGAGGAGACAGTACAAATGTAAATACTGGTTGGGAAGGTGGTGTGATGCAATGGGTGGAAAGAAAATTGAGAAAGAGATTAGTCTGGATTGTGCAAGATCTTCACACAAATGAGTTAGGACTTATAAGCTTAGACGGCCCAACAAAATGTGGAAATAAGTGGTCAGGACTACTGGGAAAAATGTTAAATACAGCAACAAGTCTTGAAATTAATCCTAGATTTACAAAAATTGATGTTGGGCTTGCATTAATTGTTCTAAGTCCTAAAGTAATAAAAGGTTTAAGTTCTGATCAGAGCTGTGCTTACAGAATAACAAAAGCAGTAAGGTCTGGTGATTTACCTCAGCAGTTAGCAATGCTAGAGATAGGACCTGTTTGCCATAGCAGGTGGCTCACAACAGCATTAAGATTTTGCAGGATATGGGTTTCTTAGCATGACCTATATGGCACCAACCTTCAAAATCTTACATGGATTGTCAAATTATAGGTGTTTATATTCCAAATTGGTTTAACATAAAAGTTAAATCATGTTGGGTTGAGGGACCAAGACATGTTTTATACCAATTAGAACTCCTCAGAAGCCAGAGGAAACCAGTTCTTGATATTGTAATGCCCACAATTAAAAGATCCGCTTGGTATACACATTCAGAAGCTGTTTTACAAGCTATGATATGCAGTGAGAGTAAAGTAGAAAGAGTTCAAGCTGTTATTCTTAAGCTTTGTGAAAAATATCTCGAGCAAACTAATACTTGTGTTTATAGCCATAGACGTCGAAGAACACTGAATAAAAAATAAAAAAACTAGATAAAAAAACTAGATAAAAGGTTTGCAGTAAGTTTAATTTGCCATTTTTTAAACAGCTTTACATTATAGACTAAATGTGAAGCTATTTAAAAAAAGAATTATTTAAATTGTGTTTATCTATTTGTCTTTTCTACTTAATTTTAGTAGAGAAAGCAAACGGATAAACACAATTTAAATTTGACTCTGTTATCTGTTATTTCCAAGGTTATTAAACTTATTCTAAATTTTCTATATAAATTATATAGAATTTAAAATAAGCCTAATAACCTTCATTAAAAATAACAAATAACAAAGTCTAATATAAATTGTGTTTATACATTTGCTTTCTCTACTAAAATGTAGTAGAAAAGGCAAATGGATAAACACAATTTAAATAACTCTTTTTTTAAACAGCTTTACATTTATTTTATTAGTCATTTAGTCATTTTAGACTTCACATAGTCACATATATTATAAAGCATTTTGAACTTCACATAGTCACATATATCATAAAGCATTGTTTAATACATTGAAATGTAGAACTAATAAAATAACATAATTTTTATTAGCAATTTCAAAATAAAGAATTAGCAACAAATGTTTCTTACAGGGTTATTAGTAAAAATTTATTTTCATTTTATATAATGTATTATCATTTATGTTTAATATTTTCTTTATTTTTTTTTAGGGTTTGTTTTTCTTAAAATCACAAAAGTTATTTAAAGATAAACAAAGATTATTGACAACAGGTTGAACATGAATTTACAACAGTATTAAAATTTGAAATCTAGTATAGTAACAATTGTATACATATCTGTGTTTTTTATATATTTTTTATATATTTATATATTTGTTTTTTTATATATTTATTTATTTATTTAATAATAACTGTGTACATGTACAATTACAATTTACGGAGCCTAGTTGATATGGGATTTAACAGCCAATTTATGTTCAAAATAAGTCCAACTTTGATTTAAATTGTTTAAGTGTTTTAGAATCTACAATGTTTTGATCTAAGTTATTCCAGCTGTCAATAACACGGTTCGTTAAAAAATAGTACCTCTTTGGATTTTTAGTTAATTGTCTATGAAACCACATATTGTGACCTCTCATATTTGAAGTTATTAAATCTGGTGGGTATTCCAATGTTAAATTATCTTTTTTTTTTACTATTTTGTAAAGTTGGATTAGGTCATAACGTTTGCGTCTTTTTTCAAGAATCGTTAATTTAGAGTAGATTAGTCTACTTTCATAGTTTTTCCCTTAAAGACATTTTATTCATGTTGCTTCACGTTGTATCAATTCAATTTTTTTTTGATCTTGTTCTAAATAAGGATACTACACTGAATTCGCATAGTCTAGATATGGTCTTACAAGAGAAGTGTACAATAATTTAAATGCGCTTATGTCTAAGTTTTTAAATTAATGTTTTATTATTCCTAACATTTTATTAGCTTTACCAGACACATAATTAACTTGACTAGACCATTTTAAGTCGTTTGAAATCATAATTCCTAAATCTTTTTCAATTTTGGTTTCTGGTAGTTCAACTCTATTTAACACTGAATCATACATTGTGTATATATGCTCAGTATTTTTGCTATCTATATGCACACGTTTACATTTGCTGACATTAAATTTTAATAGCCATAATTGTGACCATGTCATTAATTTGTTTAGATCTGTTTGAGTCTTTTCTATATCAGAAGATGATCTTATTAATTATTTTAATATCATCACACTATACATTTTACAGTTTGTTGATAACTCATTCGGTAAGTCATTTATATAAACAATAAACATAAGCAGACCCAAGACAGACCCTTACGGTACTCCACTTGTAACTGGAGACCAATTTGAAAATTCACCATTGCAGACGACATATTGCACTCTGTTACATTTAAAATTTTTGCATCATCTAACTGCGTTATAGTTAAATCCATAACTTTTTAGTTT